CAATATTTGTTGTTATCATATCCAATGTAAACAATGCATTGATAAGTTCATAGTTTCTATGTAAAGTCATTTCTAATAAAATATTTTGAAAAAAAAAAAGAGTTCTCTCATTTATGGCTAGTCTGAAATTTGGCATTTTCTGTTCCACTGTTGATTTAAAACGAAGAGAAAAAAGGGGAAACAGTGTTATTGACAGATTCACTACTTAACTCAATCAATCTATATTGTTATTATGACTTATTAAAAAAATACATATGGAGAGTGGGATAAGGGGAAAAATAAAAGCAGTCAATTAAATAAAAAGTGCCATCAGGGCCTGGAAATGCCAAAGGATGAAGTCCAGAGAAAAGATAATGAATTCATATAACTTTTAAAATCTTGTGAAAAAGAATATATTAATAAGGTCATAATATTGACATAATTGTCATACAATTCAAATGACATTACTGATTCACTGTTACAATTAAATAGCAAAAATGTTTTGCTATTTTACACTGCAAGTGGTTCATATGTAGTCTGTTATAACAGTATTTAACAAAGCTGAAATATTTTCGAAGAGATAAACAACATTGCTCTGTTGTAAACTCTTGTCTCTGTAAACACTGGCTTAAAGAACACCAATGGAAACCTGAACGTTGATGCTTAAAAAGGTGACATTGACAGGCGACACATCAGTCAGAGCTATCTACATGAGCACAAAAGTTCAAAAGAAACACTCAAACAGAAAAATGGACCTACAAAGATGTCAGGCTCACGCTTAAAGTCTGAGGTCCAGCAGAGAAGATAAGAGCCACAAGGACGTGTTGCAGCACAGTATTTCTCAGTGCATTTTCTCACTTTGACATCATAGCACATAAAGCACGAAAAACATTGATCCTACTGCACAGCAATGTACAAAGCTAGTCTAGATTTACCATGACATAATCAAACTCTGTAGGTGTTGCACAGAAAGCACATACTGTATATTGCAGTGTAAAACATAGTACCAAACAACAGCTTGTACATGTGCATAAAAGGGCTGATTACCATACTTCTGATGCTTTTAGGCTTCACTTAGCAGATACATACTGTAGCCTACACATGACGCTGAAGTTAAAAAAGACATTAAAAGCACATATATCACCAAAAAACAGAACACTTAAGACAAACAAGCTGTCCCCAGCCCTTCAAAAGAACAAGAAAAAAAAAGCCGTAAAAAGGGAAAAGATTTCCAGATATTCATGCAATCACAACTTTTTCTAAATAACATAAAAAAATGCAAAAATACAGACACATGATGCATCGAACACATTAAAGTACTTTCAAAAACAAGAGGAAAAATAATCTTCAAGCCCAACAACTTAAATTCAACTTATTCCATAACATTTTTCAGAACATTTTTGATTTAGATCATGACAAAAATAATAATGGTGAAATATGCTGGCACAAAAGGACCTTGACACTTGACAAAAGAAATAATGTTGTAGCAAAGGATAACGTGTTTAGTGTTGTAGACTGAGGGGAAACGAGTGTCTAGTGTCCTAGAAAAAAAACAATCTTCACCTTATGGGTATTTGTAACATTAATATACCTGGACTGATTAGTACTCACTCTTTTTCAGTGATTGTTCGATCCTATCAAACATGGCATTGTGATAATATGCCCTGCAGATTACTGGTTAGCTCATTTTAGAAATGACGAAAAAACATGACAGTATTTTGAGCTATTTCAATAAGAAACATTTGGTTTGCTCATAAGAGATTAGTAACACATTTTCATAGTTTAGTTTCTGTCCCAAAATACAACAGTGTTCCTGAACAGTACACAGCTAACAAAATACCTACTGATTGACTTCAAACAGCTCTTTTAAATATATTTTTTTTATATGACTATTAAAAAATAACTATAATTTAATTCTGTTTTTTCATATTCTCTCTGTTTTTTGTTTTCTGTTTTTTTTTTTTTTTTTTTTTACAAGAAGGCAATTTAAACAGAGACAGGGCAACAACAGGTCCAGTGCACGCAACAGTCACAGGGGGGTGTATATAAAATCTTTTAAATCTTTTTTTCAAATAAATGCATAAAGTGCAATATGAGATATGGACGCAGTCAAGCTGTTGATCCTGGCTTCATGAGGAGTGTTTTAGAGCAGAAAGCCAAAAAGTTTTAGAACAAAAGAGCCAGAGATACATCAAACAAGTCAACCAAGGGTACACAAAGCAGCATTATGACTAGGAAACAGATATTCAGAGTCACTGTAGTGCTAAAGAAACAAATAAAGTCTTAACGTTTTAAAAAAAAGACAAATCTCCTTTGCAGGGAGAAAAACAATCAGGTGCAAGATATTTGGTCCTACAGTACACAAAGGCCAGATATGAGAGGCAATGAGGATGACAAGATGGCAACAACACAACCGTAAAGATGTGACCAAAATACATTCTCATTGCATCAACAATGCTGTTCTAGTATAGAGGCAGTTTAATTATCTGGAAAAATATATATATTTCGACTACACTGAGGTCACATCTTTGGGAGAAATCCTGGAGAGTTTCTACAGGGTGCCCTACTCACCGAGAATTTTTTTCTCCACAATTAACTAGTCTAAAAGAAGTTTTCAAAGTATTACAAGAAATGAAACATGGCACCAGCGCTATGAGAGTCTTGCATGTTGGCTTCCTTTTATAAGGGTTCATTTTATGTGTTTCACTTTACAGTCCTAAATCAATCGCTGTAGTTTTGCATAGACACCATTACGCTAAATCTAATCACATTCTGTACATGAGAAAAACAAAACAAGCCTGTAAACATCTATTTCATAACAGAATCACTCTGTGAACCATTTAGAATGGGCTGATCATGTAAAAGATAAATGGCATGTTAGTAACAATGGGTGGAGTAATGGGTAAAGGTCAGTGCACCTCCAAAAAATGCAACCATGAATGATGTAGACCAGACCACCTGCTCAACAGTAACTCAACATTTGAAATGTATTTTTTCTCATTTACATAATAGTCATATTTGCACACAAAAAAACAAAATGTTAAGCTATTAAGGCAAAACAAGTATGCACAGTGTTTTGTAATTTCATGCATAACCGATGACTGCTATTTACCATGGTAATAACCGATAATCAGCATTTTCTTAAAATATCTCAGTTGGTAAAATAACAAGTTATTGTCTTTTGGGTCTTCAGAGGAAATGTGTGAAAACTCTAACCAGGTCTGAGTTTGTCTTCTTGATCAAACCAAATGGGGATTAGCACTAAATCAACAACAACTAAATTGACAGAGAGTACAAGCAGCCTGGCATAGAGCAGGTCTAACCTGACAGGTGTTTCCTCTGAGTCATCCAGCTGTGCGATGTAAACACGTGTGTCAAACACTACTGATTGAAAAGGATTAACTCTGCAGACTTTGAGGCTCGATTTAACCTCATATTTACTTCCATAAAAAATAGGAATCTAAATTCAACCAAAACTAAAAGCGTAATTTTTAAAAACTGAGAGATCTGCAAACAAAACTTGATTGTAATCAGTCGTAAACCATCATTCTGGTTCTGAAGAGATGGGAGGCTGGGCACGTCTTCAACTTCACATTGTGTTTTTCTACAATCTTCTCTTTTGAAAGCTCTCTTGTGGGGTTTAATTGGGTTGGTTTAATGGGAATGATACTCTGCACTGACCAGATCTTGACCAGTACACTTTGGAATCCCTCTCTTTTTGAACTCATCCTCTAAAATGTAACTCCCCTTCTCCCTCCCGCCCAGGCCTGCGGCATTCACACACCTGTGCACCATCATTGGTTAGAGCCGGTCGAGGCGAAACGCGTCCTCTGTGGCTGGGTCGGCGAGGACCATGTCTGGGTCATTAAGCATGTGCAGGCCGTCAAGAGTCAGTGGGTCTATTTTCAGATCATCCAGTGGGAACTGGGAGTCGATATCAAAACTGACATCTGTGGACAGAGAGCCGGTCAGGTCCTTGGGCAGGCTGGGGGGAGACTCTCCACTCACTGAACAGAAGAAAGGCAACACAGTTAAAGAAGGATTATCAGTTAAAGGCATAAGTACGTGGGTAATTATCAATGAGAGGGTTTCAACAGGCTGATAGAAAGCTGCTCGTTAAATTAGCACTCAGTGGAAGCAGGAAGAGACAAAAGGTGACAAATCTGTTATAATTAGATCAAAGCATGCTGTAAGAAGCTTGGCATCTTGTCATGTTAATTGTATATATTTTAGTGAAGAGGAAGGTAATAACTGACACTGCTGACTTTGACTGTGAGGCTTTAACATCCTTTTAATTATATTTCAACATGCTCATCCATAGATGTACAGGGATTAGGTTAAGTATTTGATCATGTGTTGCTGTTGTCACTAAGTGTGGATTTCTATATTAAAATATATTTTCTTAATGTACTCCCCTTTGCTTAGGAGGTTAATTAAATTAAAAAATCACCAATGGTATCTCTTATCACTTTGCTGATCTTGTCCTGTATCTCTGTAACAAAGGTCTTCCAACTAAATATATCATCCTGCCTTCTTTATTGTCAAACATTTCACTTATTTAAATCGCTGACGTATTTAAAATGGAAACAATGGCACCTTTGTTCAGCACTCTGCAAATCAATTCATCTGACGCCATCCTAATGGCAACGCTAAAGAAATAAAAAGTAACTAGATAGAAATAATCAATCATGTTGCTGAAGGTCTTGTTTGCTTTTGTAAGTCATATAAAGACATCAGTATTCATTTCTGCCTTTTTCACAATCAGAAATACTTTATTAATCCATTTATAACCAGCTAAAAACTCCTCAGGTTTCTAATAATGCCTTGTTAAATTACTCTTGTGTGGACATACATGTATTAGAGATGCAATCATTCCCAATATAATATTGAACCGTTCTGTACAGCATCCACTGTTTAATAAGCGCTTATGAATTGCGGTTTTGCATACAACTAGTTTCCATGTATTCTATTTGTCTCTGAATTGGCTCAGTTTGTGTGTGCCTTTAAGTCCATGCGCTGGGATGAGGAAGCCCCTTCCTAATATCCAATCACTATGCACTAAAGTTGGGGGAAGCTGACAACACTGGTGTCAGATTACACACATAGAGTTAACAAAAAGTTAACTGTCTGCAAACAGACCACAGCAGGTTGTAATGTCACTAACATGAAGCTACTGTCTGGTGTCACACACAGCCACCAGCTGTTAACCTGCATGATGCAGACAGCCTGAGAGTGGACAGACAAAAGACAGAGCTGCCTTCTACAAACTGAGACTATACACCATAAACCAGGAATGTGTATTAATGGAGTATGTGTAATGAAGTTGTTTTGCTTAAAAGTAAAATAAAGAAATAGTTTTCCCATAACCCCTTGCTGTTCCTGTATAATCTGTCTTAAATTTAAAAGAATGGAATACCAAAAAAAAGCAATCCAACTGGCCGGGTCATCAGAACTGAACTGAAAACTGTGACCAAAAAACCGAGGTACATATTGAACCGTGGGCTGGTGGTATTGTTGCATTCCTAACATATACATATAGACATAAAGGTTGGGAAAATATCTATTTGATGGAAGCTTATAAATGTAGCCATGATTTGCACCCAATTCTCAAGTGTGAGATATATTAGCACTTTCAAAACACTTAATGATCATAATTAGGGGTAGATTAACAAGAATACATATTTTCAAGTGTTTTTAACAAAAAAAAATCAATCTTTACAGCCAAGAAATGAATGATGTCCCTTTGATGTGTAATAATGTTCAGCTTTTGTTGAGACCATATCTCTCTATCAACAGGATATACAGTATGAAGAAGAGGTACAAGCTTAATTCTGGTTTCTTAACAAAAAGGTTTTCCACACAAGCGTCTGCGTGCCACTATTCTCCTACAGCCGATCTCTGTTGGACTCAAACGAGCATCATGTTAGTCGTAACAGCACCTGTGAGAATGATGTTGGGGATGTTTCCATGGCTACTGTAGCCCAGTTGCTGCGAGTCCTGCAGGCCGCAATGGCCACCAGTCAAACCCATCATGAGCGCCTGGGAGTAGTTGAGGGTGGAGGTATGGTTATACAGGCTGTCAGAGTTGATGGGAGTTTCTATCATGTTGAACTGCTCCAACTGCAAATCACAACGACGACAACAACAACACAGGTATTCCAGCTGTATCTCACATATCGTCACACTCCAGCAAAAGCAGGTTGATATAGGACAGTAAGTAAGTACCTGTTGTGAGAGCACACTAGCCTGAATAGACGGGAGCTGCTGGTCGTAAAAGTCTGCAAACACACTGCCCAGTATGGAGTTATGCTGCAACAACAAAAAGACCAAAAATGTTTATTTAGATTCTGGCAAAAAGAACAACCTAGTTAGGACAACCAACTATGTATAGTTGTTATCCTGTCTCTTTACATTTAACAGAAAATTGAAACTATGAAAAGGACACAGTCAGAGCACTGGAACAACAAAGTGACTCATATCACTTCAAATATCTTGAAATGTTGTGATTTGCCAATTTGCTCACATTTACTTAAACATCCAGCATTTTTTCTGTATATGAAAAATAATTCTATGTAATTTATATGGCGGACAGGAGAAGAGTTCTGTGCACTGACAAAGGATGGCAGTACACAAGTACGCAATCATGTCATAAAACACAGAATTCAGAAGAAAGGTCCGATTCTCAGGATTTTTATAGCAAAACGGAGACATGAAAAATTTGACGGACCAGCAAGGAATTTGTAGCTTTGTGTGTGTGTGTTAATTCTATCCTGCACTAAATGGCAAATCATATTGATATGATACGTCAGCTAGTTTGAGGACACTTAAATTCCACATCAGTCGAATGTTTCTATCACTGAAGCATTATGAATTGCATTGCATGTAATTATAGGCCTGCAAAAACATAAAGAAAGATATTTGGTGGGTTTTAACTAATTAAATAAAAGTGACTAAATAAAAGAATAGTCGAACAACTAAAATAAAAAAAAGAGACGTAACAATGTTACACATAAGAACAATTTTGTTTTGACTCCCAAAGGTCAGTGCTAACTAACAATGATAAATGGACATCCACCAAATGTTAAAAAAAAAACTGTTCTAGAGATAAGAAATGGGACTTTTAAGGGGACACTCGTTTAACAAGAGCCTCCCCTGCTGCCCTCTGATTTATGCCAACAAAATGGGATGAAATTCACATGAAATAAAGCGAATCATTGAAAATCGAATCCCCTTTGTGCTTTATTCTCCTCCACCGACTCGTCCAGTGCGAGCTAATTCTCTTCAAGTTTCTCATTTTGATGTTCTCATTGAACAGCAGCAGAAATTCTCCCGTTTCATCATGGCCTCTTAATGTATAAGTAATTGGATCATATTCTCAGCCTGTGCTCCTCCTCATTCAAAACCAAATTATCTGTGTGCTGCAGATGTCCCCACGGGCCTAGCAGGAGAAGAGAGCACACAGCTTGTCAGTTGTGGTTTAGCCCTTGGATAACCTCGGGACTGAAAGTGAGCCAGCTTCAGCTCAGGAGAGAACGTAGCCGCAAACAGCAGGACAAACATAAAGGAAACGCATGCACACACACACACACACACACACACACACACACACACACACACACACACACACACACACACACACACACACACACACACACACACACACACACACACACACACACACACACACACACACACACACACACACACACACACACACACACACACACACACACACACACACACACACACACACACACACACACACACACACACACCATGTATCATTGCTGTCACCTTCCACATTTCTTTTTCTCTGCGTCTTTAACAAACAACATCACACTTCCGCTTCAGCAGAAGTAAATGCTGATTCAAAAAGCCACCTAAATCTTCTGTTAGGAAAATGCTTAACATATTTATCTGCATCATCTACAGTTACACGTGTGATTATGGTTTGATTCAAGGAATGAAAGCAGTAAATGATTAACTGCTTCTAAACGAGGGCTTCAAATCTCAAATACTTAGACTAAGTATTACAGATTGCCAACCCTGATCCATGTTTACTTTGGGTATGTTTCCTTTTTCTTAAAGCGTCACCCTGTAAGCTAAGGTCCAGCTTGTTGTGATGCAACGGTGTGTGTAATCATTCAGAAATGCCTCAAATCTCCATGCTTGCGCAAAACAACAAGAAACACAAAAATCTGATGAACATATAAAAAACCCACCAGAACAGAGTCTTATAAAGCTTTTTGGGGAACACAGTTGAGATGCAACGCAAAAACCATCAAAGCAGCAGTGAGGGAAGGTCAGGGACACAGCTACATAACAAAACACATCAACGACACTGAGTGTTTAAAGAGGCTGGTAGTCAGATCTGGGCAAAACAGGACCACTACTGCACCTCCAATTGTATTACACTCTATTCTGTAGTGGGATGACACAAGTTATAATTTTTTTTTAAACCTTTACTTTACCAGGAATATTCCGATTTAGAAACAAACTATTGAAATATGGAGACCTTGTAAAGGTTGTTAAGGGACAAATGTAAGTATCACAAAGTGGTTTCTCCCAGTATGTTTTCTTAAAAAAAAAGCCTTCTTGAAAGAGCGAATCTTTAACTCACAGGTGAATCAATAACTATATTCATTAAGTGCTATCATTGTCACACTGGATGAAACCTTACCATAAAATAAATTAAAAACCTACAAACAAGCTAAGCTAATGTTAACAGAAGTTACATTTTTAACATCATTCTGCTTTTATTAGGATTACTGATTGTAGTGTCTGGATCACAACTCTGACCTGACTCAAACACCTGTAGAGTTCACGCTGCGTTAAAATGTTAGCGGTGAATAGTTTGACTTTATTTCACATCAGGAGAGCCTCTTATTAGCATGTCGTTTGCCCTTTCCTTACCAACACATACATATAGAGGCAAATAAAATTAAATGAAGAGGTAGAATAAAAACTATAACATTTACTTGAAGTGAAAAAATAATGAGTGAATGAATTGTTTGTCTTGCTAAAACGTTAAAAATCTTTGCCCAGATCTGCTGATATCAACACAATACAAGCAGCCGTGTGGGGGGGTGGGGGGGGGTCCTACTCTGCAACATTAACCACAGGACTACAGAGCAGGGGGGACGGTGATATTTATACAGAGCTAGCCAGAAGCTCACTGGTTCACACGCCCTTACTTGAGGCGAGCCTCCAGGAGAGAAGCCTTGATTGGAGACTGGGGAGGTTGGAGACTGATTTGCAGAGGATCCGACCCTACTGCGGTACTGTTGGAGGGAGGAGGCCTGATACAAGAGGATACGTTTGAGTTATTCACATCTAAGACCAACTAATGTGTGTGTTCTGGGCCTAGATATGGAGCTTTGTTATGTGTATTTCTGACGCTTGTCTTATTGAAGACTATTCATTTAAGCTTTGGTGGACTGAGAATTTACCGAAGGATGTACTCCATTTCTGGAATACAATTGAATTATTTAAAGCAATGAACATTATGTGCAATGTCACATCAATGCATTAAAAAGGCTGAAAAAGATATGTGAGAAACAGAGAAAACAACAAGGGATTAATTAGAGGAGAAAATATGTTGCCAGCAATCTAAGCTGAGCGACTCAGTGTTGTAAAACTGGAGGATCAGAGAAAACCAATCTGTTCTCTTTTGTTCTGTTCTCTTCTAGCTGCTCTTTAATATTCACTTATTCAAAGACATCAAAGGAGGAATGTGTGTACAGAACAGAACAAATATTTCTATTGAGACTAACTCTATGGGGACACAGTTGTGTGTTTAACTTCTCATTACCCAAAGCCAACAGGAGTTCAAACCTTCTCAATCACAATCTATAGACAGATACGTTATCAAACTAACGGTCACATATGATAAAGACTAGATAAAGCAGTTCAAGGTAGCTATATAAAAGAATTCAATAATTAATTCTCAAACAGATCTGTCAGAACTCACAAGACCAGCTGTAGCTTGGAACCAAAATTTTACAGATTGGAAAATGTCCAGAAATTAGTCAGATATCTGAAAACATATCTGAAAACAAACTTTAAATATACTAGAGAGCAATAAATGAGATTTATATTGGCCGTTAACAGACAGGGAGTTCTAAACTGTGTCTCCAGAGCATGTTTCACTTGACCTCACACTGAAAGTCTCTATCTGAGACCATGCAAATGTAGGCCACTTCATGTGTGCAGTTATCCAAACATATTCCCACTGCAACAGAAGTAGAGCAGCCAGAGCTGAGTTTTGCACATTTTTTTTTAAAACCTTCATCTCATGCATTCATTATGTTTTATCTTATTTCGGTACAAAAAAAAAAAGAAATGTATGGCATTTAATATCATTTCTGTGAAGCATTTGTTTCTAAGTTTCAATTTCAAGCCCAATTGTTTGGCCATACACACTTTCTATACAGTACCAGAGATGACAGATATGACATTTTACAAGTAGATCCTGATATTGATTTTAGAGAGGAAAATTTCCCCTATAACTAATAGGCTGCTGTTTTATTGTAAATTTGAGGTGGAATAAACCAGACATCATTATTAGTATTTTTCGCACCTCAAATTCAAGCAAATAACCATTCAAAATAACACAGAAGTCAAGTTTCTTAAACAAATATCTTAATTTACCGAAACATTATTTTCTGCTTTTTATGATGTGCAAAAAGCAGTTTTCATATTGACTATTGGAAAACATATACGTCTATACTAATTAATCTGTAATAGCTGTATTTGATGATTTTATCACCCAACAGATATTTGTTTCTAGACATTTTTGTTGTTGTTCTAGTAATCACTGTAATTCACAACTTCCATATCACAGCAACATGTGCAAAACAAAGGAGTTACTACTGTAACCAGGCGGCCACAGAATGACACCATCTAAAAGCCTATTTCCAGGAAAGAAAAGATCGAGATGTCATCACTGCTACCACTGTTACAACACCACAGCTAGATACACTGATGTGTCCCCAGCTTACCGTATTCATGTCGATGGTCATGTTGGTTTGCAGAGGACTGATTGTCTGATGTGGAGCAGGAGTTCACGAGGACGACAGCTGGACCAGACCTGTCTGCTTGAAAACAGACAGAGTGGAGTCATAAATCAACAAAGATAATTGGGTTCAAAAGAAACACTATTCTAAAACGTCTCATTACAGACTAAGAATAGCAGGATCAGTTTTAATAGTTTGTAGGCAGAAATGTAAAAAGAAGAGAGCAGTGAATAAATGCAGAGGCTGGAATGTAAATTAGGAAATTACAATATCATTAACATTTTATCATTTTAAATATTCAGTTCAACATTATTTTATTATTATGCTGTGGTTGTTGAATGTTTGCTACCCTACACATTTTGAGCATGTGTTTTCACAACCCTTTATAAATACATTTAGAATCCTGTCTAGATTTGTTGCCCAAATTCATTTTAATATCGCAATAAATATACAATGTCATTTTTCCTTATATGTTCAATATAAACAACAATATACAAAGAAATATCATTAGTCAGAATAAGACTTGAAAGAGGTCTCATGTTTTACTAATAAAGTAGTAAAAATCAGGTTTAAATTATGAATGAACTGCTGCAGAGCAAATCTATATCAAATGTTTTTTCTTTATTATGAAGTGACGATGCAAGACAAGAGGAGAGTTTCAGTGTGCTGGGCCAAACTACTGGATTTAGCTGCTAAAATATATATATATTTCTTTTTTATATT